GACTAGGACTCCTCCTGTCTCTTGGTCTGCAGTTATAAACAGGATTGTTATATGTAACTATAAAGAATATCTAAAAGGGATTTACCTGTTTGTATTGTGATCCTATCATCTTGCCGTGGCTGTGAAAGATGTAGATCGCCCCCTGATGGTCATCTTCCAGAGGAGCTCCCACCACCAGCTCCTTAAATCCATCTCCATTCATGTCTGCTATTTGTGCCATTGCTGAACCCAGGCGAGAGTTTTGAGGATGGTGGGACACTTCCAGGATGCCGTGGAAGATAAAGAATGACTAGGGACGTGTAAATGTTTTAGCTTAGAGAAACATCCAAACATAAATTGTGGAAATCAGCAATACGTGAATCAATCTTGCATTATAAGTTGCAGTTATTTTGGTTTTCTGTTTTATACCAAAAAGGTTTATTTCTTGTAGAACTAGTTTGAATCTGCAGACTACGTCATTTACCAACACATAAACATGTGTTATTGATACAATTAAATAGCTTAATGCCTACCACCTGTTAATCTCAACAGGTGTTTAGCATTAAGCTATTTAAATGGATGCTCTAGGTCAGGGGTCGGCGACCCAAACTGCTATGAGGTGATGGAGGAGCAGTGAACGCTTTCACCACTTCACCTCCCTTCACCGCTCAGTTTAGGTTTTATTACCTTAATAAAATTATAGAAACACAATAAAGGAATCTTTCTATGGTGGACGTGTTTCTGATGGGAGGAGCTGATTGAGTGATGAGGAACCAACAGGAACTGACATTCATCAGAGCAGAGCTCTCTAACCCTGAAATCCCACATCCTCCATCACCAGCGTTTCTTGGTGTGTCATTTTTATTTTGACGATTTGTGGAAGAAAGTTCCAGAAAGTTTTTTCCTTTTGGGATCCATGGCTTGAGACACACCGCACCGCGCAGAAAGCTGCTGCAGTCTGACACAAATTTTCTGTGAAAAAAATATTTATTTATTATACAAATTTTGATAGCTTTGGAAAACATTATATTTGTTTGACCACCTGCACCATATAAAAATAAACAAAAAAAAATAATAAATTTTCGTAAATTTTTGAAAAAGCTCTATGGAGCCGCAAGGGGGGGTGCTAAAGAGTCGCATGCGGCTTCGGAGGCGCAGGTTGCCGACCCCTGATAGATAAATAAGCTGTTAGCATCAGCTGGGAAGTAGCAGATGAAGGTTTACCTCATAGGTGAGAGAGTAAATATAAATCCTTCCTCTCTCCCAGCCTTGGTTGTAGAACATGGGTGCTGCAACCAAAAGAAGGTCAGTGTGGCCATCTCCGTCAATGTCCATGGATAACAGTCCGCTCCCAAAATATGAACCGATCTTAGAGAGAAAACACAGGAAATAAACATGATGAAGGAATTTGAGGGGGAACCTCTCCTGTGTTCTAACTCAAACCATGCTGGTTTCCTGGAAAGCCTTTACACACTAAAGTTATGAGGCACAGAATCCAAACCGGTAAAGTCTGCTCATATTCAGAATGTAAACTTCTGAAAGTTCT